TATCCAGAACAGTCAAATTCATAGAGTCAGCAGAATAGAGGTTACTGGGAGCGGAGAAACTGGGGAAGTTATTGCTTAATGATTATAGAGTTGCTGTTTGAAGTGCTGAAAACACCTTGAAAATAGGTAATGGTGATGGTTACACAGAATTTTGAATGTACCTAATATGGTTGAGTTTTACTCTTAAAAATGGTTAAAACGGCAAAATTCATGCTACCATATTTTCCCATGTATAATGTGCAGAGTTTTACCCAAATTTTTGAGGGAAAAATAAGGATGTGCAATATACATGGGCATAATGATTACATACCATGGATACAATAACGGGTATAATAATCTCATGTATAATATTCACAAAAACATTGGTGCTCATTAAACACAACAAAATATAATACATATATTTTACTAGAATTCTTTCAAAGCCCATGAAGAGATGTTGAAGCTGTGTGAGAGTGGAAAGGAGAAGAAAGGAGTGGGACATTCAGGACAGAGTCAGCTAATTGACTGGGAGAGAGGGGGGATATGGGTACACCCAGCATGACATCCAAGTTGCCAGACTGAGATCTTAAGTGGCTGTTTATGACATTATTGAGATTAACAGGTGATCCAAATGGAAAAATAAATCTGGAGTTTGAGGCCACAGCTTGTTTAGTAGCAGTCTTTTTTTTTTTTTTTAATTTGAAGGCCTTCGGGGGATATTTCATAGTACAATAGGAATGTGATCTGTCTATGACATGACCACAATTACCAGTATGGTTGATTCAACTGGAAAAAATGAGCAAACAAATAAATAGTAGCTAACATTTACTGACCACTTCTAAAGTACCCAACACTGTGCAAGCACTTTGCACATACCAGTTTAGTCTCCCCAGCTACCCACCAAGGCATGCTTGTCCTCATTTTACAAACCCTCTGAGCCATACCAAGCATGAGCCGTTCCCCTCAAAATGCCTGACACTGTCAAATCTCCGGATTTATGTATCTGTTGCACCCCTAAGGCTACATTGTCCTTCTGTCACTTCACTCTAGATTCGGATCTGTGCATCCTCCAGAGCCCCTTCCAAAGTCATCAGTTGTGTAGAGTGTTCCAAGTGCTCAAAATTCGTCAGTTCTCACTTCGAATTTAGTATCTCATCAAATGCCTTCAAAGCGATGTGGCCCAATAAAACTGTGGGCTCCTTGAGAGCAGAAACTGTTTTTGCTTTGTCTTTGGATCTCCATCAGTACCTGTGAAAGTGCCTCTTATTCAGAAGCACCCCTTAAGTGCTGACGTCCTAAATGTGGATACATAGATGAACTGAGGTTTGAAAAGGCTTGTGTGGCTAGATTGTAGGAAAACTCATCTGTGCCTGGTGAGCAGAGCCCAGGCCTGCCCCGCCCCCCCTCCACAATTCTCTCTCCCCATAGCACTAGCATCTCCCTTCTTTCTAGCTGCACATCAGTTTGCGTTCTAGAGTCAACTGCAGTCCACAAAGGGAAGCTTCTTGGTTCCTTCGGCAGCATTAGAAATTCACAGCCAGCAATACTGGTAGTCTCAAACCTTTCTTCCTCTCTAATGTCCTCACAGGACCAAAAACTTTTACAAAGTAGGTAACCAGTTATTTATTTTTCACTGTATACCCAGTATCTAACACAGCGACTAGGCTAAATGTTTGTTGAATGAATCATGAACCCACTACTTCTTAGTGAAAAGACCCCAGTACTATTGGGAAATTAGCAAACAGTGTTCTCCCATTTGCTGAACAGAGGCTGGTCCCTCTAACAACCACTTAAATTGCCTACCGAACACTTACTACTCGCCACCTTGACATTTATATCACAGTCCCCATCTCTTGTACCTATGTCAGAAAACCTCCTGTGTTCGGGAGGAAAAAACAAAAACAGCAAATATGTTCCAGCTGAGCCTGACTTCTCTTGCATACCTAAGAAATCCTGGACTCTCTGCCAGACCTAATCCTCACTGAGAGGAGATAATCTCCTAATCCTGTCGCAAGTCCTGATTCCTTTTTCCCAGGTTTCTCCTTCTTTCCTCCCACTCCTAGTCAAGCACTACCTTGCTTTCTAATCATGTTTGGTGTCTCTCCGGATTCCTTGGCAGTTTTAATGATGCTGAACCCTGACGCAGGAATTCAAAGAAATAAAGACTGAAAATGACCTAACTTGCCATACATAGATGCACTCAGCTCTGTGTCCTAGCTTTGGAGTGTGTGTGTGAACTGTTTTACGTTTGGCCACAGGCACAGAGCCTGTGTTGAAACAGTATAAAACGTTCCTAAATTTTCTGGTCTACACTTTTAAAACTTTTTTCAAAGGAATAAACATGTATTAGAATCAGTGCTACCGGAATTTTATTTAGCTGTTTATTAGGAGGGGGTGGTGTTGGTGAGCGAGAGGAGAGGAGAGGAATGTGTGCTGGGGAGTTGCAAATAGAAAAGGGGGAGAAGCATGTGGGAATTGCCTGATGTTACTCTTGTATCCAAGACTGTGTCCTGTGTTGAACTCCCAGCACCTCCTTTCTGGCACCACTACTTTCTGGAATTTACACAGATGTTGACAATTAGGGCTTCGAAACTTGAAATCTGGTTTCCAAACAGGTTGATTCCATTGTCTACACAGATGCCATTTGAGTGAGAATTTAGAAAATGCAAATGGTCAGAAAATGGGCCTCCTCCATTCCTGCCAGAGCATCTTCCCAGCTCAGAGCATTTAGAAACAGAACAAGGTCTCCGAGAGGTTTGGGTGTGAATTCACAGGCAGATCTGGCAGATTTGCCAGTCCGTGTCCCTGGCTTGTGTTTGTCCTTTTCTTCCCTATATCCCCCTTTTCCAAGAGCAAAGCCCCTCCAGTGATAAAGGGGAACAAAATCTGTGTTCACAAAACCTCTGTGGCCATACTGCCAGAAACCTGTAAGCAGCTGCTTTTTTCCAAAATGTCATTCAGAGCTCCTGGACTCGAGTAGAGTGAAGAGGAGCACCCAGAGATGTCTTTGGCGTAAGCTAATTCTGGTTCTCTAAGACAAGTGTCTGCGAGTTAAACGTTCTAAGAGTGAAAACACAGCCTGGCCCAGAGCTCTGTGTCAGGCGGCTCCCGGGTTGAAAGACAGCCTTAGAAATAGACACCCTGCGCTAACTCCAATGAGATCAAATAGGAGCTTCACAGAGCACACCGGGCCCAAGGCAGCAACAGCAAAATCGGACTTTTGACCTGCTGGGTGACTCTATTTCACTGAAGAAACTCTCACACACCAAGACAACTGGCTTTACAAAAGGCAGGTTTTAACGTTGGCTCCCCAAATTCTGTAGTGCAGTTCTTCCCTAGTACTTGTTTGAAGAAGGCAAGAAAAAGTAAAAGGAGTGAGAGAGAATTGAAGGCACTTGACACGGGCCAAGTTCACTCGCTGTCTTTCAGGATTTCCTATGCCGCTAAATGGAGGAATGCAGTTAGTCTGCAAGGCGTGCAAGGCAAGCATTTTTCCTAATTCAGAGTTCAAATTCGGAGTCTATGCTTTCCAGGGAAATGAGTGTAAATGTGCTTGTGTGTGTTTACTTACAGTGCGTTTGTTTTTACAAGCAGGTCCTAGCTTTCCTCGGATTCTCAGAGAGGTCTGTAGGCCAAACTAGGTTGAGAGCTGTTGCCCTGTGCGCTACCTTATTTCACCTTCCCTGTTATCGAGGTCCAATAGTGCAAGATGAACCCAAACAGTGGCCAAATTCCCTGAACAAGGAAACCGGTACCCACAGTGACCCCTTCCTGAATGACATCACACCAACATCTACTCCTAAAAGAAGTGAAGTGTGAAACAGGCCTCTCCACCCACCTCGTCCCAGCATCATTTATTCCCTTCATGGTAGCCAGTGTGTCTCCTAACAACCTTTTCTCTGTCTCATTCTGCCGCCCCAATAAGAACAGGCCCAGATCAGGCATCTTCTGTTGTGGGCAGACTCTTTACCCTCTCTACACACTCTGGGCAAAAGAACCTTCACTGGAGTCATCAGCAGAGAGGAGTACATTCTGTTCTTGTTTCTATTCTTAACTGGACCTAAAGGGATTAGTACAATCCAGGACTACCTAAAGGCACAAAAAAGATTGAGACCATTTAAGCTTATCTAAACAAGCAGGCCTAAGTAACAAACTAGAAACTATTCAACTCTGCTCCAGGCTGTGGTTCTGATGCTAATAGGAGAATGGGCGAGATATTCAGGAAGGAAGATCTGAAGGACACGCCTGTGTCCACACCTCCTGTGGCTGTGCCTAATGTTCTTACTTTTCATAGTTCATCCTTTTCCCACCCCTAACAATTCAGTTTCTTGTATCAGTGTTAATATAATCATTGTAAAGAATTTTCTGTCTTTTTTAAAATTCTGCAACTTTTCAAAGTTCAAACTTTACGTACAGAATCTTTATCTAGCATAGCATTGTACCAACAGTACTGTATTCGCTGTTTTGCTAAGCCTCTAGGGTGACATTTTTTAATATATCAGCCAGGCCTAGGTATAGACCGAGACTATCCTGGGCAAACTGCAATTTCAAGGTCACCACGTCCTGCTCAGAATCACGCTCAGTGATTCACTTTTTCAGTTCACACTTCACCTGCATCACCTGCCTCGTTCCGGATCTCTTCCCTCGTTAAGGTGGAAATGGTAGAAGATGCTTTTGAACAAGAAGCTACATCCCACGTCAAGGACTACCTGAAGAAGAAAAAGCTCCCATTTTAGGAAAGTCATGAGCTCTCTGCTGCCCCCTATGTTGCAATCACACATTCCCCCGCCGCAGTCAGCCACAGTTTCCGTGTCCTTCCAGCTCACGTTCTTTTACATAAAGACTGGACCATGCTATTTTTATTCCCTTGCTTTCTCCATAAATTGCCATAAATTTAAGGCATCGCTCAGTAATCATAAAATCACGCACAAAAACCCATCTACTGCATCGATACCAGAATGGTCAGGAGGTCGAGGTGCAGAAAGACATGGCCTCAGGCCCACTGTTCCTTCTCTCCGCAGATTCGAAACGTGGCAGCCAACCTTTGCGTGGACAGCAAACACGGAGCCACAGGCACCGAGCTCAGGCTGGACATCTGTGTCAAGGACGGTTCTGAGAGGACGTGGTCGCACGAACAGGTACGTCAGCTCCCAGAAGTCATGCGCCGGGGGTGGGGCTGCGGCAGGCGGGGCGGGTGTCAGTGGGGACGGATCCAAGATGGGATCTTGCTTCACTTCTTGGTTTCCGTTCCTCGTCGGAGCAGTGGTGCTAATCAAATGAGATAAGGTATGAAAATGTGCTTTAAATCATAGAAAGGATGTTAGAAATGTATTTCCTTCCCCAGAATGACAGTTTTCAAACTGTAAAAAGCATGTAAAATGCTATGGGATTCTTCCAACCAAATTTCATGGTTTTAATGAAAGACTCTTTGTTATTCCGTAAGTTTCTGTGACTTTAATCTCGTGCCTCCCCTCCAGCTGTATATTGAAAAGAATACTTTGCATATGCCTCTTGTTGTTGTAGGAGTTTGTAAACTTACACATGAAAGATTAACTTTGAGGCAATAACACCCAAGATAAACTTCATAGGATCTTTTAAGACTATTTATTGCTTTCGACTGAAAAACCATTTCAGTGCGACTCAGTTTATGAAGTGGGGTGTGATATCTGACCCACTTTGAAACATGACAGCCCTTGGAAGGGGCTCTCCTCACACCCTGTCATCTGTAAAAGAAAACAAGACAGGGGTAGACTCATATCTGCCCCTTTCTACCGCTTTAATTTTTAATTGTGAAATATTTCAAATAGAAAACCACGAAAATATTATAGTAGACATTTATATACTTCCCATGCAGGTTTAACAAGTATGTATAGTCATTTCTATATTCTTTAAAACAACACAATGTACAGGTACAGTTAAAGCTTCTTCCCCGGAGGCTGCTCCCCTCTCTCCCTCTAGAAAAGAATATATTCCAAGTTCAGGATAGTATGTCTTCCTTGTGCATTCTCGTTCTTGGAATTGTCTATACTGCCTCTCTTCTGGAAACCAAAGTAGTAGACAAGCAATTTCCAGTGAAGTATTTGTTGTGTTCTGTTCTGTTTGCCATCTCCCTCAAGTGTCTATCACGTTTATACTAGTAAAGACCCACCCTGTGCAGCCCAGGGCCTTGCAGAGTGCTCAGGGGTGCTGCGATTCAGCATGGTGGCAGCACCCTCCCCACTGACCCCTCCTGCCCCTCCTCTAGCCCGCACGACAGTGCAGAGCAGCAGGAAAGTATCAGTGGATCAAGTCCACAGCACAGTCAAGAACTAATGCAGTCAGTCACTGAACCAGCAATGCCCCCCCGTGCCCTAGCCAGTAATTTTGTCCTTGTACTCGTCCCACAAGGTCATGATGTTCTAGAAGAGCCCTGCCATCAGGCCAACGTAGATGTCAACCGGTTTGACCTGTGTATCCTTGTGAAGTTATTAAATCTTTCAAAACTGTCACTCCTCCATCTTTAAGTAGAGACAGTAACCCATCTCACAAACAGGGTAATTATGAGAATAAATCATGTCTAAGATATAATAGCCTCTCACACCTGTGGTAGGGACAGAGTAAATATACTTTCCCCTTTGCCTTCTCCCAGTGCCTCTCCCTGGAGAGCATTATGAAAAATACCAAAGTAGCACTCTCTCTCAGGCCCAAGGCAGCTGCCACATACCGAACACGATTGATTCATCATTCCCTCATACACATCCTGTAGCGCGTGGACGCGTATCAGACAGGCTTGAAAGAAGACCGCAGCTCCAGGACTCACTGATAGGAATGAAATGTCAGTACAAGCTGATTCGCCTTCTCCTTTTTCTGTCTCTTTCTATGAGCACCACAGGGGTGCTACCAGGGATGTGAGATACAGTGTTGGCCTGTTACCTCCAAGATGCATTTCTGACTTCAGCCTGAGAGCAAGAGAGAAGGCTTCAGAGGCATGTCAGGAAGACTGACATCTTTAGAGGAAAAGGTCATGTTTTAAAAAGAGAAAAGAAAAAGGAGCATGCCATTAGAAAATCTTTGTCTGAAGGGCTAATCCCGCTGTGTCATCTCTATTCAGCCCAACCAGGAAACACACCTAGGCACCTGGTTGATGTCAGGTATGCACACTTGAATGCCCAACTCGGGATTAATATTTCCATCCCTTGAAATGTTCTAGAATGAAATATGACCTGGGATTCAGATTTTATTTAATTACTGAAAATAAATTGATATAAAACCAACTCTGTGGCATACACTTTTAAAATTGTTTCATTTTCCTCACCCCTCAGACAAAACTGTGAACATCTATGGCATGTAATTCAAGAAATAACCAGCAGAGGGAAGCACTAGACAAGCAGACATAAGATGTGGAGGTGACCAGTTAATAAATCTCTTTAAAAAGATTTGTAGTCTCTAGAGACTGCAAACGGAGCTACAGGAAGATTGAACAAAGTTTACAGGAGGTGGAAAATAAATCATATCTGAAATATGTATCACACTATATTGACTTGGATGTGAAAACATTACAAGCTGCTTTGTTTTCCAGTGATTAACCGTAAGCTTTATTCGATATATTACTCAATGATTCATAAGAATTAGGTTTCACTCACTTATATTTAGACTTCAACTCCTGAATAAGAGAAGAAGTGTATCAGGACAGGAAATTTATAGTAGTCTTTTTAACTCAAAAGCATTTATAGAACACAAGAGGGACACTTATTAGAGTTAAAATGATCCTTTTTGAATGGCACAAATAAAAGAAATGAATAAATACATGCAATGGTCACAGGGAAACTAAAGAAGCATCTATTGAAGCACTTCTCTATTTTTTTTTAGTTGAGGAAAAAATATTTATTACCACTGTGTCCAAACAGTGAAGACAAGTTCAAACTTTACTCTGCAACACAGACACACACGAAGCAGAACAATTGGATGAAGGGTAACTGGCAAAACACTGCCAAAAAATGCATGACAGAGGAACACTCCCATTGAGCTCACAGTCATTAGTCTTACTAAGACCTTAGAAAACTGCTGAGTGAATTCATTGCATTGGAAATACATCAAGTTCAAAGGCAGAGAAACTACCAGTTAGAATAGCAGTCCTGAAGTATTCTTTTTGTTTTTAATTTTTTCCATTAATCATTTTTTATTTTTCAATTATAGTTGACGTACAAGACCAGGCGGGCACATCAATGGTTAGACGTCATGTACCTTACTCAGTGATCTTCCCGATAAATCTAACACCCAGCTGACACCATACACAGTTATTAGAATATTATTGACTATATTTCCTATGCTACACTTTACATTCCCATGGCTGTTCTGTAACAACCAATTTGTACTTCTTAATCCCTTCACCTTTCTCACCCATCCCCCAACCCCACTCCCTCTGGCAACCATCAAACTGTTCTCTGTATCTATGAGTCTGTTTCTGTTCTGCTCGTTCACTAATTTTGTTTTTTAGATTCAAGTGTTGATAGATGAGAAAGTTGCTTTTGTTGCAGAGCACCAGTGACTAATGACTAATTTGGCTTCTGTGAAGGAAGCAAACGTCCGTGGTTCATTTTTCAGGGCCCTCTGTTTAGCCGTTTGATACCCCTGCAGCATCATGTGCTGCAGACCAAAAAAGAAAACTCAAATGAGACCAAACTAAGACCATAGGTCCCGAAAGGATACTCCCCACTGCCATTATAGCAAGAATCCCCCAGAAGAAAGCGGAGGGGAGGGGCTGGGGCAGAGGAGCAGAGGGGCCCTGGGGCTCCCTGGCCAGGCAGCAGGCTGTAATACCTTGGGGGGGGGCGGAGGAAGCGCTGACTGCGGCAGAGCGGAGCGGGCCTTGGTCTTGCTGAGGTAGCAGACCAATGTCCCCTTTCAAAGACCTGGAAAGGCGATGTGCAAACCGGGGCGGAAGCAGGTGCCTGCACGTGGTCAAAGGATGGATTCTGGGACATAGTCTCACTCTCTGGACAGAGCACGCTGCAGATCTCAGATAGCTGCCAACCACACAACACTGGATCTCGGTCATACCACCCACAGAGAGAAAAACATGTTTAATCCTCCCAAATCAGGTAACAAGATTACGATAATAAGCGTCCTATTTGCAGTACTGAGTCTAGTGGGCTTATTCATGTCAAACAACACAGACACGGGCAGCATTACACATACCAAATCAACGTTAAAGCAAAGATATGAGTTACGTATCATTCTGAATCTATATTTAAAAGTATCAATTAAAAGAAAGAAAGTGGAGAAATTAACATCGATTTGCCCTAAAATTGAAGGATTGGAGATTGACAAAGAATCAGGAGTTATTTTCTGGGAAATCTAAATTCTTCTTTGTGTAAGGAACAGCCCAAGGGTAGAAGACAAACTGTGAATGTCATAATAACACCACCCAATGTGAGCAGTGACAATGCTTTCATAATGTCTGCTTGTTTCTGCCGTGACAAGAGCGCACACAGAAAAGTGTGCCTAATGAATGAAACGCTCGCTGCCTGATCGGTTTGACATGGCCATTAGGACAAGATAAATGGCAATTGCATGCATTTCAAAAGCATAAGAGAAAAAATTTAGCTAATGGTAGAGGCAGCAGAGTAAAACAATTGGTATAATCTGAAGATATATCACATGGGATGCAGGAAGGTAATCACCAGGTAATAACAAAAGCAATAATACATAAAACACTGAAGAAGAGCACAAGCTAACAATCAGTCTACAAATCTACAAATCTACAAAGAGCACAAGCTAACAATCAGTCTACAAATCTATAATAACACACCTAGAAGCTAGAAATAAAAGGCCCCTAAGACTTTTATTTTCCTGATATATAATTGTGACAAAACATGAATAAATTTGCCAGAGACAATTCTGCGTAAGTCTGCCCTAACATAGGTATTCGTTTGAACCTAACAGATCAATTTATTAAGTGTAAGACAAGTAAAATGTCAGAAAGTAATAAGCAAGAAAAACTGTCTGTAAACCCATTTGACCTTTGCAGGATGGATTTTCGCCCACTGTATGAGACTGTGCTAGGAAATGACTGCAGTCCCTTTTGCCTCTGGTCTTCTAAGGGAACAACAGGTCCTCAAATCACGTTGTTTTGTTCAACGTGGTTGGACTATAATGTGGATGAGTTGCCGTAGGAACTCTTTTTTAATCAATTAGCCTATGGTAAAGTTGGTTTTGATGATGTTAAGTGAAGACTTGGTGTATAAAAACCGAAATGGGATAATCAGAAAGGCAGGAGACAGCAACAGAGAGGGAACTGGATAAACCAGTAAAGACCACTGGTTCCTGCATTGTTTGGTTGGCTTGCAGTAACAAGGAACCTTGATATTTAAATGAAATAAAGATTTAATCAATGCCAATGGCACGCTTATAGGCCAGGAAACAATCGGTAACTGAGCCTAGAATCCTTATAGATGAAATTTTGACAAATAATAGTGTGTTTGATATTGTTGTGATTAGACACAAACAGAAGAAATCTGAGGGACAAAAAAAGGATCAATTCCTTCATTTTGACAGCTATCCCAATACACTCTCCGTTGATATAACAAGTGCAAGTTTTTATTTATTTGGTAGAAATTGCATTGAACATTTATTATGTGTCATGAGTTGTTCAGATTGCTGGGAACGCAAAGATGAAAGAAGATATGTTTCCTGCCATTAAAGAGCTCACTGTCTAGTGAGATGAACAGAAACATAAATGGGCAAACGTGATGAAGTAAAAGCAAGCAGTGGCGAGAAGTAAGGGGTTCGAAGAGGAAGGCTGCTTGGATGAGTGGACAGCTGAACCGAATGTCATAAAACCAATGAGCCTTCACTAGGTTGGCTGGTGAAAGTTGGCCTTCCAGCCAGAGGGACTGTCCTGAACAGAGCCACAGAAGGGAAAATATAGCCCAGTTAGTGCAAGGGACTATATGTTTTCTTGTGGCTGGAACACAGACAAAAGGGAAGAGACGCAGCTGGGGAAAAAATGGCAAAACCAGATTGTGGAGAGTTCTTTACATGTTAAAGAGTTTGAGGGCCCTGGCTGGTGTGGCTCAGTGGATTGAGCACGAGCCTGCGAACCAAAGGATCGCGGTTCGATTCCCAGTCAGGGCACATGCCTGGGTTGCAAGCCAGTTCTCAGCAGGGGTCATTTCCCAGCAGGGGACACATGAAAAGCAACCATACATTGATATTTCTCTCCCTCTCTCTTTCCCTTCCCTTCTAAAGATAAATAAAATCTAAAAAATAAATAAATAAAGTTAAAAAAAAGAGTTTGAACTTTATTCTCTAAGGCTTATATAAAAATATCGTGGGATTTGGGGTTGAGAGGTGACAAGGCCAAATAGACGTTTCAAACAGAATTCTCTGGAGGCTACTGAGGACAGACAGGAAGGAATTTAAAAAGGAAGGTAGGGATGAAACTGTTTAGGAGGTCATTTTGGTAGTCCAGACAAGAAATCTGGAGAGCAATGATAGTGGAAATAGAAAGGAAGACATCTTTTCAGCAATATTTAGAAGACAAAAATGACCAGGCTTGGGAATTGATTAGATGAAGACAAATGATGATTAGTGGGAGACAAAAGGGTTAAAGATGAAAGACTCTCAGATTGACAAATTGAATGATATGACCACCAGCTAAAACACAATATAAGAGTATAAAGAGGCTAACAAGGGAAGAAAATCAATTAAATTTAGGATGTGTTGCATCTGAGATGTCCCTGGAACATGCAGTTGGAAAATCCTACATGGAGTTGGATGTAATACAGAGGATGAGTTATTAGCACATTGTCAAGAGCTGAACCACTGAGAATATTTCAGACCAGCCAGGAAAGGTGCAAGGGGGGTGGTCCAAGGAGAGCCCCGGACAACAGCTCTGTTGAAGAGAGAGGTAAAAGAGGATGTGGGCAGGATAGAGTTCTACGATAGCAGGAGCTTGGAGGTCTGCGTGGAGGGCAGTGATCAAAATCAGAAGCGCTGAGTAGACATTTGTCCTTGGGGAGTCATTCTCCTGCACAGAATTTGAATGAATCTAAAATTGCCTTAGTCCATAATCATATTTAAACAGACAAACAAAGACGCTCAAGGAAAAGAGACCACACAACTCCTCTTTGTGAATTAATTTTGAGTGCCCAACCTAAAAATCCTTTGTCCTTCTATTCAAAACATTCTCTCTGTCCTGTCTCTGGGGAAACAAATTATAGCCACTTGCCACTACTCAATCTGCTTCCAGCTTCCATATGTTGTATTTAGAGAATTTCTTTCTGATTTTCTTCAGACCGCTTACCCAGTTCTTTCAAGTTTTCTGCAGTTTCCCCACCATTGAACTGTTTTTGTTAGTCATCTCCAGAATTTTGCCAGATTCTCTACGTTTTCTTCCCTGGGTAGGACTTAAAAACTGAAATATACTGAGGGCCCTGTTGGTTGTGCTTGTTTGTATGTCAGCAGGGGCCCCTTGACACCTCTTTACTTTGCAATTCCCAGTTTGGCTTTAAACAACTAGGCCTGCCTTAAGTCCTACAGTAAGATTCATATAACCTCAATAAACTTAAACTTGGAATTAATCATGTCTCATCTAGTCTATTTTCCCACTTAAAGACTTATTTCTACTGCACCCCTCTAGCAATTGTCCAGGTCAAACTCAAGAAAAAACCATGTCCCTACAAGAATGTGGGGGGGGGGTGTTGAAACTTAATACATTGTATAATTAATGTAGTACATCCTAAACAGCATTTAAAAAATAATAGAATGGGTTGAATATGGTAGAATAGACTAGGATAGGATAAGGTCTGATGGAATATCAGAGTCTATTAAAGGCAGTAAAGATAAATATAAGTTCATGAGACTTGTTTCAGTTTGGGGAAGAGAAGTGTGTGTGTGTGTGTGTGTGTGTGTGTGTGTGTGTGTGTGTGTGTGTGTGTGAACTACTTATTGTGAGGTACAGTTCAGAATGTGAACCCAAAGAAATTAATTTGCCTATTCTTTACTTCATCAAGCTTAGCTTTCATTTAAATCAAACTTTTTAAGTTGCTAGCTTCAACACAACTCAACCATACTTCTGGTCTTTTTTCAATTAATCTACTCATTTAGGCTAACTGTGCAGCATTTTACCCAGTAGCATTTTATCAAGACGAAGAATGTAAAGAACTTCATCAGAGAGTTCTTCTTCTACCTCCTTCTTCCCTGTCTTCATACACTCCTCTGTTATTTCTAGCACCTACCTGGAAACTCTTCATTTGCATTTTTGGCACCCAAAGGTGCAGCTCTCACTGCTCCAGCACCTTGTGACACATGCTTGTCTCGACACCTCTGTTATCACGAGACAGTTTTTCTCTGTAAGTCATAAAATCTAAATTGCTCCCCTTGTTCTCGAATCTCTCCAAATTAAACTCACTGCAGCTTTTCTGCTGTCGTCGCTTTGGTAGCTCTTTACTTTTGGATGGAGAGAAGATATTCGACCTGGGGAGCCGCTGCACACCCGGAAGTTCTGCTTTGATGCCATCTCACACCACAGCTCCGTCACTCTCTATGACTGTCATGGCATGAAGGGGAACCAGCTCTGGGGACACCGGAAGGTAAGAGTCAGCTCGCTGCGGGCGTTCTCCAAGTGCCAGGCTAATGCTAACTCGAAGTTTTCATTTAAAACACACCGTGTGATGGAACTTGTTACCTGGACATGGGCATACACATATTTGGCTCACACACTTGGAGATCAGGGGAAAGATAGATTGTGTGGAAGTGACACGCTTTTGGCTTTGCTTGTTATGCGTACACCCATCACAGCCGGTTGGACTGAAAAATGGCTTTGAACCAGAACGCTAGCACTACAGGGAAGGGACAAGTCATAACCCAGACAACTCTCAAATGGAAGGACCACAAACCCAATGACCACATGAATATATGTGTACTTTTTAGGAATCCCAATTTTTTCTCTCTCTTTCTCTCACATACACACAGAGAGATTAACAAATCTATTCATTTGTTATATAGCTGAGACTCCTATGCTTTGGAACTGTCTTGGTTAAGAGAAGTACATTTACATAAATAATTATACATTTATGTAGATGTAATTGTTGAAGCCCTTATAAAGAAAGTGAGCTATTTGTAATTTGGCCAAAATCCTGCCTAAGTATCACAAAGGAGAACTTATTTGGAGAATGTAGAAGTTTAAAGAATGATACAATTAACATTTAATGATAGGAAAAATAGTTCAAAAGCAAATATCACATTTTATTGACTTGATAAAATAAGGATGGATTAAACTTTTATTTTAAAATATCTTTATTATGAATACTGTACAATTTTTTTAAATTCTTTAAAGTGGGACTTACGTCCCAGTTAGCAAACACTTCAGAAGCGTCATCCGGCCCCTCAAGTTCATACAGCTGCAGGCAGCCTTCAGAGCCAGGCGGAAGCAGCCCGCCCTCTGTTTGCCTTTCACACTCCGACATAATCCAACCTTAGCCCAGACTATAGGAAAAATGTCATAACCACCGCTTTAATCAGGAGCTTTGGCTGTCCTGTGGCCGAAGTAACATCAGCATTCCCTAAAATGACAGAAAGTAAATGGGAAAACTGCAGAGAATCAACACGGAGCCACCCCTGGTTCTGATACCTATTCCCTCATGTAATAAGCTCTCTGGTGCCTGAAACTCCACTCTGTTATACCACCATGTTATCTGGCAGGTTATGGTCACATGTCCAGTAAAAATATGAAATGGCAGGTGTTATACCTCTCTACAAAACAATTTAAAATCAAAGGAGCTAATAAGAATATGGCATTGGACATGATATGGGGGAATTACTACAATAGGAGAACTTCACTGTTTTCCTTATGAAGTACATCATCAATAATTAATCTTGTCAAACCCTTTACTGTTCACTGTGACCCAAACTATGTGTGGTGTGAAAAGAATTTTTGTTGTTGTTTGTTGGGGGATGTGTGTGTGTGTGTGTGTGTGTGTGTGTGTGTGTGTGTGTGTGTGTTTTTAAGTCTGACCTTTGAGAAGTCACTTTCTGGGCACCTCAGTGAAATACCTGATTCAGCATTTGCCTAACAGGCTGGTGGTCCCTAATTAGCAACCTGCTGCTCATGACTGTACATTTATAGCACAAGAGACAGAATGCTCAATACTGTGCAGTTAAACCCAGAAAATGCAGTTGTTTTCATTAGAGAGCTTACAAAAGCTTATGTATGGCTAAGACCAACTAATACCTATGCACGCAGGGCTCCTGAGAAGACAATGTAGCTGTGCTGACTTCAAGAGGTAACTCACAGCTGTAACACTTAAACTTTTCCAGGGTCCTCAGGCACCTGTGAAAGGAGACCACTAGGTGCAATTACCCTGTGGCTCTTTTCTCAGACCTTCTTGTGGCTATTTGCTTTGCATTGCTTAGCAAAAAGTTACACTCACCATGTATTTATATAACAAGCAAGGTATTTATACATAATCAGAAACATGCCACAGGCTCGAAATAGAAATTTTCTGAAATATCTCATCTTAGTGGATGACTCAGGCCTATTCCAATGTACCTGTTTTAGAAAAACCTTCTTGTCTGTTTCAAAGACTATTCCCGAGGCATTTAGAGAGAAACCACACAGAGAGAGAGGTCTCTGGGATTCTGCCTTGTGTGTTTAGATTCACTACTGGGCCCTGGGAGCTTCAGACAGGTTAGCAGTATTTTGAGTCAGCTTTGGAGTTGCCTCATTTTTATTAGCAGAGTCATGAATAAACGGGATTCCCAAAGACCCTCCTACCTGAGGTCCCAAAGGACCTCAGTGGATCATTCCTGAGCTCCTAAGGTAATCATTACCTCCAACCGTTAAGGAGGCATAGGGCCAGTGCTTTACACAAGTTCCTTCAAACGTCACAACCACCCAGGTACCATCGGGTATAATTCAGAGAGGAAGAAACATACTAGCAGATTTGTGGCAGGGCCAACATTCGGAGGCAGGTGTATCCGACTTTAAAGTTTCCTCACTTTCCTCTGCCATGCTCTTAAGAAATCAGATCAGTAATGAGTGAGCTCCCAGTGCCTGTTGGATTCAGCACCACATAGCAGCCAGCCCCATCCTGGGCTACATGGAGATTTCTTGGCCAGAAGCTTATGTGGGTGAAGGTTGTTGTCAGGCCTCGCTTTCTGACCCGTCTGCAGCCACCAGCTCTCAGTTGTTAGTCCAGGAAGATTTCCCCCCAAACATTGTATGTCTCTAAGGTATACAACATAACAATTGGATATATGTATATATCACAACATGATTACCACCATAAGTTTAGTTAAACACCCATAACCTCACATAATTACAAATTTGTTTTTCTTGTGATGAGAAGTTTTAGGATCTACTGTCTCAGCAACTTTCAAGTATACAATACAGCATTGTTAACTATAATCACCCTGCTGTACATTACATCCTCAGAACTTACTCATCTCATGCCTGGGCGTTTGTATGTTTTAACCACCTTCACTCCCCACCCCCGCCCCCGCCACCACCTCCAGCTTTCAGTTCTCTTTGTGTGTGGGTCCTTGCTGCCACACACAAAACAAGAAGGGGATTCCTGTACAAGGGTCTTGTGCCCAGGTTCAGTTGCACAACTGGATGCCATCCATGCAAGCAGGTCCCCAGAATAAGAAATCCCATTCTTGGTTTTCTTTTACCACCAGGGGGACCCCTGTTACAAGAACAAGGAACTGTTGAAGTGACCTCAGTAAAAATATTTAAATCATCCACCAACATCTGAAACGAGAAACTGTCTTCCCTCTTCTTCCACCCCTGCATCTACTTGGTCAGTGAGCTTGTCAATCCCCTCCCCCGGCTGAGAGCCGAAAAATCCATCCTCTCCTTGCGGTTTCCTCAGGCCCTGCCCCTGTTGCTGCCCTTCACAGCTTCGCCCTGGGTTGTTGCAATAGCTCCCTAAAGGGTCGCCCAGCCTCCTGTCCTTTCCCCTCTGACCCCCTTCCATCCTGAAGTCAGAGGGAATTTCTAAAACATCTGGTCCTTGTGTTCTTGTGTTTCACAACTTCACCTGGTTTGCCATTGAATAAAAAATACAGAACCTTCACTCTCACTTCTTATCCTGACCCTTCACAATCTGGTAAACGTAAGACATGCCTATCAGACCTCCTAACACATCCTGGTTCACCCTGAAACTGTAATGTGATTTCGAAAAGGTTATTTTGCACTTATGATTTTCAACTTCCTCATCAACGATAATAGGGAAGATAATTAAGTGAGATAAACCACGTAAAATTTCCAACACCGTTTCTGATGCCGTGATCAAATTTACATCTGTGTATTTGGCAAATGTGCTTTTTGCATTGAAAGTAGCAGTGAGGTATATCCTGATACACCGTCTCACTACAACAACCCATCCTAAGTGAAATCAACTCTTGTAATACCCCCTGGAAATTCAGAGTTATCACCTATGTCTCTTTATTTTTAAGTGAACATTTTTTTTATTTAGTTTCCCCAGATTTATACCCTGAACTGAGAATTTGAGTACAAGTGGCTTGTTTTGGAGATGGCCCCCAAAAATCTTGGTAGGAACTGGGGAAGTGACATGGAGACATTATGGTAGTCAATAAAAAGTAGACTATCCAAAAAAAATGCACCGTCTAGGAAGCATCACTGTAGGCAGCCGGGCTCAAGCCTGCTGAAGGTCTCGGGAAAGGGTATGGCAGACACATCGAGAACAAGGGAGTGAGGGCATTTACACACCACTCCACACAGTTCTTGGTTAGGATTATTCCTGGGGGAAGGGCAGTTTACTCTCTGATACCTCTGGGCTACTGCTGTCACAAAGAGAGCTATTCTTAAAATCAGAGAAAGCCCTGAGGCAAGCAGAGAGGGTGGCCAACTCCTGGAAGTTGGGCGAGTGTGTACTGGGAAAATGGGTGGGGCCTAAAGAGCCGCACAGATTCTCCCTGAGAACCCAATTGGTCCACAGTCCTCACCAGCACTTGGCAGCATCAATTTCTATTTCAGTTCCTCGTTTCATTCTGTGGTTGTAGTGTGGCGTCACGTGTTTGTTAGCAGCTTTGAATGTTATCTTCATGAACAATGTGAGCCTACTGATTGTTTTTAACATTGGTTGTCTGGCTTTTCTTTTGCATATTTTTGTGATGATAGATAGACACATATACACATCCATACCAGTTCTGTGTTAGATGTATGTATTGTAAACATCTTATTCTGATCAATGTCTTCCCTTTTCTTTCCTGTGGCATATCTTGATGAAGAGTCGTTCTTCACAATTAGCGTTTTTTTGTGTCCTGTTTAGGAAATCTTTGCCCACACCAAAGCCACAGAGATAGACTTCTAAGTTGTCTTTGGAAGCTTCATTGTTTAATCTTCTAGTACATTCTGGTATATAGTTTCATGAACTATTTTTATGTGTACAATGTAAGAGGAGATTTATTCTTTTTTAAATTTATATTTATTAGATCAATTGCCATTTATTAAAACCATCTTTTTCCCACTCTACAGAAGCAGCACCTTTCTCATAAGCCAAGGGGCCTTATATCCATGGGTCTGTTTATGAGTCCCCAAGTTTTTACCATCTGACTCAATAGTCTT